TAATTATATTTTAGATTTTTTATATTTAAAATGAGATGTTTATCCTGTATTTGATTATGTTTATCTGTAGTTAGTTACACGAATTCAGATATGGAGCTTTAATAAATTGTACTTACGCGCAATCTACTTGTAATATTGAGTTTTAAGTAATATGCATTAATAAACCGTACTTTACGCATAAAAAGTGGTTTTTAAAAGTTTTTGTCAAATGCTTTATAATATAGAGAGTGTGTGTGTGTATATATATATATACATACATACAGTTGGGTTCACGTGAGACCAACTCTATTTTCGTGAGATCCGTGAGACCAAAGATTTTTTGTGAGACCCGTAAGACCAATTTATGTTCATTGATCAACTTTATAAGTTAATGGTCTAAAGTTGCACGGTGGCAATTTTGTGATTATTGAGAAGTCTCGTGGCAATTTTATGATTATGAATGTTCAGATCGTAGATCTAATGCAAGGGTTGATAATTGATCTTAGGAGTCTCACGAAAAACTCTTGGTCTCACATGATCCCAAGTATATATAGGATTGGGTTCATGTGAGACCAAGGGTTTTTCGTGAGACCCGTAAGACCAATTTGTGTTCATTGATCAACTTTATAAGCTAATGATCTAATGGTCTCAAGTTGCACGGTGACAATTTTGTGATTATTGAAAAGTCTCGTGGTAATTTTATGATTATGAATGTTCAGATCGTAGATCTAATCTAATGGTTGAGAATTGGTCTTACAGGTCTTATAAAAAACCTTTGATCTCACATGATCCTAAGTCTATATATTTATATATATATATATATATATATATAATTCAGTTTAAATTTTAACCCAATAGACTTGGTCTTTGCTAGAAAAGTTCCATATATAATTTATATGAATGAGGGGAGAGATTTACAAAGTACAGAAGGGGACGATCACACCTGTTCTGTTCACCCCACTTGCTCCATCACTGCTTATATTTACTTGCATTAACCAAACTATTTAATCCAAAAGTTCCATGACTTTTATAATTAATGTATCTTCATTAGACTTTTCTAAATCAAAGTTGACTGCTTCTTATGCTGCCTGCTATATATATATATATATATATCCAAGTCTTCTACATCCTCAACCTCATCAAAACTATTTTCTTTCCTCCTTTTTCATATATCTACACCCACCTTCCATTTCATCAACTCTCAAAATTAACCTCAAACCATATTCAAGAGTGTCCTACCCACGTATAAGTTTTGTTGACGGATCCTTAGTTATTCTGTCATGAGAAACGTTCGGGAAAATACGGGGTTCCGTCAATTCCCTCAATCTGCAATTCGCAACACACTCCAAGAATGCAAACAGGAGGAAGCAGAAAGAAGAGAGCAAGTGTTTGACAAGCTAAATCAGATTCTTTCCAAGTTTTTGGAACTAGAGGATGCAAAATTCAAGGGAGTACAACTGCCGAGAAGGAAGATCTTCATTGAGATCGGAAAAGAGAATCATGATAAATTCATTGTCGAATGGCTTAATCAATATTCTCAAGTGAAAGTCATCTCAGAGTTGCTTCAAAGTTATCAAGAAATAGATTATGATAAACAAGAGATTGTGCAAATTAGAGGGTTAAACAATCATCTAATGAAGCGGTGTAACTTTCAGTCTTCCTGCAAACTTGAGCGGTTCAAAGTGAAAACTGTGAACCCTGTACAGACCGTAACGAAGAAATAGAAAAAAAAACCAATAACTGTTGTGTTCAGCAATCAGTTTGCTTGTCCCGTTTTTGTATGTCGATTTTGTTATCAGTATGTTTAGATTTACTAAAGAAAGAATGATAGGAGGCTGTATAATATAGCTACATGGTAAGTAAATGATAGTGTTAAATTTTACCGGATAAGTGTTTGGTAAATGGTAAATATAAAACTATTGGATGATTCATTGCTTGAAATTCGAGACCACTTTTACAATTTGTAAGAATGGTAGTTGGTCTGGTCTGCAATCGGTTATTTCCTAACTAATCGAAAGTGTGTGTATTGATGAAGTAAATGGATGGTGAGGTATAAAATGTGACCACTTCCATTAGGGATCAAATTGTAGCTATAAATAAAAGACATTTAACATCTTATTATATTTTTATTTGTACCTTGCACTACAAAACAAATTACTTTTATCTCGGAAAGTTTTCGTCAGCGATTACGACAGATCATCTAGAAAATACCAATGATTCGGTTGAAATCCGATGTTTTTTGAGAAAATACCATTGGGTCACCCAAATAATCCTTGATAGCCTGTCACTGATTTGAATCACCCACCAACTTTTGTGACCATTTTATATCATTTTTAGCGACAGATTTTAAAAGGAAAAGTCCGCAAGCAAAAATGTCTTTTGTTTAGTAGTGCTGAGAAGATTTATGTAAATGTAATTCTATCAAGTGATTTTTCTCACTAAAACAAAATTATGTTTATAGGATGCTATCAAATTTCAAAGCGTCCTAATTAGATTACTTTATAGGACTCAATTTATAGGATCAAAACATTAATAGTTCTATCTAAAGACGTTGTAATAAGTTTATAGAATGTTTTTGGACGTCTTAACAAGTTTTTTTATTACATTTTTAATACAAAGCGTCCCATTAGCTATTTTATAGGACATTTTTAAAAAAAATGTCTTATAAACCGATATTTTTATAGGACGTTTGTTTTTATAAGACATTTTTTGAATTAGTGTCCTATAAAATAGCTAACACGACGCTTTATATTAAAAGTGTCCTAAAAAAAACTTTTAATCTGAATGGATTTAAGAGTTTTAAGAGTTTTTAAGAGTTTTAAGAGTTTTTAAGAGTTTTAGTCAAATGCATTATAAGATAGTATAGATAGATAGATATATATATATATATACACATTTGCCAGCTGATATTATTTAAATGGTTTAAATTAGACAGCATATAAGTTTCAAAATATAAATTTAAAACCTTCTGTTAAAGTTATCTTACTACATAAACTTAAGCCGGGAAAATAGGGGCCAAATTTTCGACTATACCTTGCAAATTGTGGGATATAAAGATTGACCTCTACAAGTTCTATATATAAGTATTTCAAACAACAACATCAAGAAGCCTAAAAAAATCCAACAGTTATATATTATCTGTGCTTTAATCACTGCATACAACTTTGATTTCTTCGTCAAGTAGTAATATATATATATATATATATATATATATATATATATATATATATGCTTATGTTTTTACATGGTCAGATTAAAAGAGATTTACGATATGATACGAAGTTTGAGTAGATCAACATATGTACAAAAGTCATCTTCGAGTCTGACTTTTAATTAGATATACTAATTGGTGTTTGCAAGTCAAATCCAAATATTATAAATTATGAATGCTTGTCCACAAGAAAAGTTCAATAATTTATGGAGGGGACGATCAACACCTGCTTGTCCACTTGCTCCATCACTGCTTATAATGTATCTTCATTAGAGTTTCCAAAATCAAACTTGACTGCTTCTTGCCACTTATGCTGCCTGCTATATATATATATATCCAAGTCTTCTGCATCCTCAACCTCATCAAAACTATTTGCTTTTCTTCTTTTTCATATATCTACACCCACCTTCCATTTCATCATTTCTCAAAATTAACCTCAAACCATATTCAAGAGTGTCCCACCCACGTATAAGTTTTGTTGACGGATCCTTGGTTATTCTGTCATGAGAAACATTCCGGAAAATATGGGCTTCCGTCAATTCCCTCAATCTGCAATTCGCACACAGTCTTCTAATCAAATTTTACTTTCAGGAGAAGTAATTACGCTCCAAGATTGCAAACAGCACGAAGCAGAAACAAGAGAGCAAGTGTTTGACAAGCTAAATCAGATTCTTTCCAAGTTTTTGGAACTAGAGGATGCAAAACACAAGGGAGTACTACTGCTGAGGAGGAAGATCGGAAAAGAGATTCATGATAAATTCATTGATGAATGGCTTAATCAATATCCTCAAGTAAAAGTCATCTCGGAGTTGCTTCAAAGTTATCAAGAAATAGATTATGATAAACATGAGATTGTGCAAATTAGAGGGTTCAACAATCATCTAATGGAGAGGTGTAACTTTCAATCTTCGTGCAAACTTGAGCGGTTCAAGGTGAAAACTGTAAATCCTGTACTGACCATAACCAAGAAATAGAAGGGAAAAAAAAAAGTAACTGTTTTGTTCAGCAATCAGTTTGCTTGTCCCCCTTTTTGTATGTCAAGTTTGCAATCAGTATGTTTAGAGATTGACTAAAGAAAGAATGGTAGGAGGCTATATTATACAGCTATTTGTGTTAAAGAAAGGGTGGATGGTCTGTATCAAGTTATCTTAAGTGACATCAATTCTGTATCTGTTAATACACCTCGACGGCACCTCACCCCCACCAGACCGGACGATGTTGAATGGCAGAAACTTGACACTCTTATCAAGATGTGGATTTAAGGTTCCATCACTCGGTCTCTTAAGAAGCTTCTTACTATGATGGGTCACTGCTCGTTCGTTTGGCTAGTCTTGAAACACTGTTTCGCGACAACAAGGAAGCTCAAGCCATTGAGTTCACTACAAGAAAAAGGAGCTTTAGAGAAGAAATTTTCAGAGAAGCTTTTACAAGTGTATCTAAAGCTCCATTATAGAGAAGGTTTTAAATGACAAAAATGAGAAATGTAACTAAAGGTTGGACGACATTTAAAGAAGGATTTATATGCTAATTATACGGTGTAAGAAATGTCGTTAAAAGTTTTAGAGAAGCTTTTTATAAAAAATGTCTCTAAAAAGTTGCATCAATTTTTAGGAACAATTTTTTAAGCTTCTCTAAAGATTAATAAAAAAATTAAGATTATTAAAATTAAATAAAAGTGTTTAGTTACCCTTAAAAATGTATCTAAAAGATTTATATTAAAAAATAAATTAAAATTAAATAAAAAATATATAATTTAAAAGATTTATATTAAAAATAAATTAAAAATAAATAATAAATATAATACTTTTTACTTGTCTGAGTTGTCTCAGCATAAAAGCCCAAGGACATCAATTTTTTAAGCCCAACAATATACATATATAGGTTCTATTTTTATTTGGGCCTAAATATAATGTTACCTTTCTTCACTCAATTCGTCAATCTCAATCTCAATCTCAATCTCAATCTCAAGCTCAAGCTCAAGCTCAAGCCTTCACACAATTCGTCCTCCCTCGCCTCTCGCCTCGCTGACGAACGAACTCACGAACATAAACCAATTCACGATTCACGAATCGAAATCGCAATCGGCCTTGACTCAATCGGCTCTCGCTCTCTGCCTCTCTCGAGTCTCGACAATCGACCGGCTCTCGGCCTCTCGCTCTCGCATCTTGTGACTTGTGAGGTTAGGGTTATTTGCTTCACTTATTTTATTTTTATGTTTTTAATTCTTGTTTGATTGCAAAACCTAAGTATGAAGCTGTGAAATTGGTCCTCTGTGGTTTTGTGTTTTCACATTATTCAATAATCTTCTGTTGCGATTTCAGTTAAAGAGGGAAGTTCAAAATTACTTTTAGTAGGTTTTCAATGGTTGGGAGGCACTTATAGAATGGAAGAGTTTTTGTATAATGCATATATAGACATAATTCTATCATATGTTGCATCATATTACCATGTTGTGCTGACACCCAATTACTTGTGTTCTTGTTAACAAGTTTTCAAATGTTATAGAGATCATAAAATTCAAGAATCATCCAGAAATTTCAGAAAGTCCAAGGGTCACTGACGCKTTCAAGATTGGATTTGCAGTTCTCAACAAACTTTATTTTAGTTCAGGCCTCGCTTGGTGACGCTTATGTTTGCTATTWAAATTATTTTGCAATGTAAGTACTGTAGTAAAAAACAACCCTTGGCTTAGCCAACAGCARTACCCAGTGCTCTGTAGTTTTAGCCCACTAACCTAAAGCATCTAGGTTCAAGTCTCACAAGAGACGTGTATATGTACTTTTCCATATAAAAAAGGGTGTTATCACTCCTTGATAGCGAAAGAAAACTTCATTTAGCAAGACAACTTAGATGTAAAAATACGTGGTCATCTAGTGAGCCTCATGAATACGCCTAGCCTTGACTTTATAAAAGCCCAAGACCTTGAGCCTTATGAGCCTCAGAGCCTAGGCACGCCTCAGGCGCGCTTTTAACAACTATGCCTAGAGCCTTAAGATAGACAATAGAATGTTTAGTTTTTGTGTCTTYCCTATACATCCCTATGTATTMTTAACKTGTATAAYATTTTTAAGCCTTGTACAAATTAGTGGAATACTTGCTACAAACAGAGACACATTTTCCCCAGGTAGCCATTCTTGAAGTCTTAGGACTTTTACACTTGTCCCTGAAATTTCAAGCAATAGAAATCCTATTCAGATGTGAGAAAAGTATCAAAATTTTTATCATCAAAATTTCATTCTCACAACATCGAATCCCACTATATCATGATAACCGAATATGCATACTATTGAAGAAGAAGAAGCAGAATCATACCTCGC